ATCCAATATCCAGAAAAAAATAATGTTTGGACAGGAATAATGGGAAACAATATCGTAGGACCTCTATTTATTGATCAAAATTCAACAGGGGAACTGTATTTTAATATGCTGGAAACTACTGTTGACCCTCTCATCACTGAAATCGTCGAAGCGAATCCTAATGAATTCGATATGGATATTGTGTTCCAACAAGATGGAGCAACACCATTACTCAAGACAAGTAAGAAACTATTTGGATACTACTTTTCTCTGTCGTTGGATTGGCCGTCTAGGTCCTACAGAATGGCCAGCCCGCTCGCCAGATTTGACACCTTTGGACTTTTTTCAGGGGGCTATAGAAGCAAAAGGTGTACGAAACTGAACCTGCTTCAATATTGGATATACGGCAGAGAATAATAAATATTTGTAGAGATATTGACGTTACTGTGTTCGAAAATGTTCGTTGTGAAATATAGGATAGGCTTTTCATATGTCAAGAAGTTCAAGGCAACTATTCCTAGCATTTTCTAAACTGAACTCAAGCTTATTACCTCATATTATGTAGTTGAATGTCATGTATTCAGGCAATTATTAAAAGTTCCACTATTTGGCCTGCTGCTAAATTCTGCCAAATCTCAAATGCTCAACTTTGTTTTAAAAATAAAACTATTAATAAAAGCTATTTGGTAAGATTGAATAATGAAACTTTACATCAAGTTAATTGTACTAAATTGTTGGGTGTTGATATTGATAATAAACTTACCTGGAGTTTCCATGTTGATAGTGTCAAACTGAAGCTCAGTAAACATATATATTTACTTTGTAGGTTGTAACAGTCTCTTTTGATGTGTTCATGCTTTTATACCACAGTTTAATTCAGTCAGTGATTTCCTATGGTCTTGAACAGTGGGGCTTATCAGCTAAAGCTGATGAAGTGTTTGTTATTCAGAAAAAGGTAATCAGAATTCTGGCTGGGGCATCTACAAGTGCAAACTGCAGGCCATTATTCATTCGTTATAGTGTATTAACAATGCCTAGTTTGTATATCTACCAAACTCTGATATATATATAAGAAACAATATTTCAATTATTCCTAGAAATGAGCAAATCCATGAACATTTCACCAGAAATAACCTTCAACTTTATCAGCCTTATAGTAGATTGACAGTATCGAAGAATCACCCCATGTGCTGTGGGATTAAACTATATAATAAGCTCAGTAATGACATTAAGTCCTCAAACATCAATGTCTTTAAAAGGAAGTTCAAGGTTTTTCTATTGCAGAAAGCATACTACTCTGTGGATGAGTTTCTCCTTTGATCATAATCATAATTTGATACTAGCTTAGTAATTTTATTTTCATTTAAGTTATGCTTTGTATTTGATTTTTCATAATAGTTTGACTTGTTGTATCAGCCAGTATTTTATGATGATGTTTGCCTAATGTGATTGTAAATGAAAACTGATTCAATAAATGTTTGATTGATTGATGGATTGATTGACTTCATATTCTACGGTTGTGAAGTATTCCTCAGGAGCTTCAAAATGATATGTCACAAGATACCTCTTTTTATTTGATTTTTTTGCCATCTTGGAAGTTTCATTTGCCAATTTCACTTCAAAATAAAGTATTCATGCATTAATTCCATTATCCCAAATTCCAATTTTTTGAGTTGACCCGTTGAAAAAATAAAAAGGGGGAGAAATTAAAGAAATGCACTGTATATTCAATTCAATCAGGCACTTTCATTCCACTCTGTTGTATTTTATCACAACTTTTATCTGTCTAGTCAACTTTATACAGCCAGCAATGTCGATACGTTCGCCGGCAAATACCTCCATATCGGAGGTAATTTCCGCCGACGTGATACATCCATTCAAACTATTCTCGAAATGAAATACAGAAACGATGTAAATTGAAAAGTAAAATCATTCGATTCAGTTTTGTTAACCGAACCGAACGGAGAGATATTCCAACCTGGGAATATTCTCAACGCTGCGCTGATGACCGAATAACTGGAATTCGTGAAATCAAAATTCAGCTATAATTTTCCGACTGTTCCAATAACTTCTCGCATTCATTCAAGAATGATGTATGCGTTGTGAATTCCTGATATCTTGCAAATGCATGATATGTATGGAGGTTCATTGACTTACTTGTTTTCGGGAATCTGGGATGGAAAGAGTTCCAATTGGATAATCAAAGATGTTCGATCGTTTCGAAACTCGTTCAGAAGTTTGGCCCATTACGGTGGTAACCAAATTATTATTCTGCTCGGAAATAGAAGTTCATGAATAACCTGATCAGAATTACTTTTGCATATGAGAAATTTCCTTTCGGGTATTCATCGATCGTTTTCAGGTAGCATAACTTGAAAGTCAGATACTTTATAATTCATTCCATTCCGATTTTCTTTGTCAGAGATATCTCAGCTTTCAACTTTATTCACATATTTGTTCAAGCTAGTGCTTGAATGGTTTAACCTTGAAGTCATGAAAAAAATCGCTTTCAACATACTACCAAATGATACCGACTGCGCCAATTGAATACTTGAATCGAAAATGGATCTTTCCCGAATATATTCATTTCACAAACATACTAGTAGGATTTCTGGTACAGAAAAAAGCTCTTGGAGCTATTGATAATGTTTCGACGAAATTTTTTCGTTTGAAGAGCTGAACATTTTAACTTTGGCCTGTCTGCCATAATGGAGTTTACCTGTTATATTGATAAGATCAAAAGCAATATTTTCAAAGATATGGATATACGTGAACACCAAACAAGAAGTAAATAATCATTTCATCTATCTAAATCAAAATAATCTTCAGCTGATGTTGAATGGCCAACGTTGTACGTACTAAAAATGAACCCTCACAACTAAAATTCCGAAACCTAACAAAAGAATTTCTCCCCAAACATTTATTTCATAACACTTCTGAGTTTTAAATGAAATTTCAATATGTTTTGTATTTCAAATGGAAAGTACAATATTTTCATCATTCATAATTTTACCGTCATACTTTTTGAGTCCGGAATTTCAATTCAAGTTCATGAACAAATGTATAATACCAATTGAATGCATAAAAATATTGAAAAGTTGGTAATACACTTATGTTCAACTGGGACATTTGAAAAATGGGGAATATCACAATTGTTAATGGATATTATTCATGATAAACATCAAAATGAAGAAATGTAAAAATATATTGAAAAATGTTTCCTTATGGTTGGAAGTAGAATAAAAGTTTCATGAAACTGAATCAGTATGAATGCCATCTAATACCAATTATGTAATGTTTCCTTGAATATTTGTTCACATCTTCCTAATTTCTTGTGGAATCATATCCTGAAATTCACAACAAATATATAATGCTGTGAAATGGAAATGGAAATTTCTATGTTTTTTACCACTTTTATTTGTAACTAACGTTACCGCAGTTTCGTCCTATATGGACATTTTCAAACTTAAACTATTGTTTGAAATGCAATAACGTTAGTTACAAATAAAAGTGGTAAAAAACATAGAAATTTTCATTTCTCTTTTCATCATGATCTCCTACCACATAGTAACGGCTACATCCATCAATTTATATAATGCTGTATTGAATATATACTGCACTATATATGTTCTGAAGTCATCGACAGATTAAAAGCAATGCCTCAACTAATAATTTTTCTATTTTCTCTTGTATTCAGACTGAGTTCTTTGAAATCTTGGGGCAAAATATTGTACAGAGAGTCATATATGTATTTTTTTGCGATAAGTGAAGACGAACTCGATTTATTCTAATGTGTTGAGCGTTTCGTGTGTTGTGTTCGTGGATATGACATTGTTTCGCAAATGATAGTTTCTTCTTATGGATTTCAATCAAAACGTAATAAAGAAATAAAATTGGCAATGGCATGACTCATGAGTTTTTTCAAATATTCTTGACAGTGATCCCTGTATCCAATATTAAACAGCACTCTAAATGCCTTCTTTTGCATTCTAAAAATTCAAATGGAATGACATGAATTTCTCCAAAGTTGTACACCATAACTAATATGAGAGTGAAACAGTGAAAAATATAAGGTTTTTAATATATTTTCACTAGTGCTGTACTTCAATTGGTAAAGGAAAAATACAGAATTTGAGAGTTTTCTCTTCAGTTGAGAAATATGTGCAGACCAGTTGAGTCTATTATCTAGTGTAATGCCCAGTAGGGGAAGGCCGGGCAAAGTGGATACCTTAAGATATTTAAGGTTATAGCAGAAAAGGTATAAGGTATAAAAACAAAATAACTAGTACAAATCGATCTTTATTAATTGCTCTTACAAATACTGTCATCAGTTAACCTAAATAATTAAACATATATTAACTGAAAATAGAATTAAAAAAAGTTCGAAAGTATTCGCTTTGCCCGGACCCCTGGGTAAAGCGGATACAGTACTCGGGCAAAGTGAATACTCATGTTAATAACTCTGAAAACGAGAGTAACAAACTAAATCAACATTTTTTTTAATAAACTGAAAAATACATAACTTGAACTTAAATAATTAAAAAATTAAGATTGGCAGTTATCACAAATATATCCTTCCGTGCCATCGAATGCGGAACATTCTTCGTGACACCATTGTTGACAAATGTCACATCGAATCCAATTTTCAATAGGATTATCATCTTCTTCAATGTAAATTTCTTCGCAAAAAAAGCATAAAATATCCTTAAATTCTTCAATTTTCTTTGGCTGTTTGGCTTTTTTCTTATTATTGTCAGTCTTAGTTTTCTTAGTAACAGTCTTAACAGTAATTTTGTTGATTTATCATCCAGTCTTTCAGTAACCTCCTTAACTGTATTTTTCTCAAATTTCTGCTTTTGGTCTTCCTTGATCGTCGTACTCGTTTCAGATTTTTGTAGTTTCCGTTTACGAGTGGTCATTGTTTTGGCAGGATTTGGTATAGGTCTCAAAACCAAAGGGCTATAGTGGGAGGTTGAGCATCCAGGTTCCGGATCTGGTGATTTGTCACGGCTTATATTTCGTTAAGTATTTTCTTCGATCTCTGTGTCAATTGTCTGAGCATTTGTTGCTACATGCGGCTCAACAGCGGAGACAATTTGGGAACATATAGGTTCTGGCTGAAGTGTACATCCAACCTCGCTACTAATCTTTTCAGGTGTTTTAAAAGAGTCTGTAATTGACCCAACAAGGGCTTCAAACTCAAAAGGGGTAGCTCTGTTTAGAGATGGAATTATTTCTACCAGAGGATCCACTGGGTTTGGTGGAATACATTTTTGCAAAAATGAAGGCAAAGGGGTTGAAGAAGTTTCTGCAAAAGATCCTGGAATATCAATCCTTTCTGGTGAGTTTGTGCTTTCTGTACCAATATTCATGTCAGATGTTCCTGCAATTACAGCGGCTGGTTCGTAATCTTCGTCACCAAAAGCATATTTATTCACTGGCCAAATACCAGGTCTTTCAAAACCATGAACGGCATTTATAGCTACTGCACATTTCAGGAAAGCCGGTGATAGCAGTCTGGCCACATCATATTGATTTATAATGCGTCCAGGGTGAGATTTTTGGAAAGCATTTACCTCCCTTTCAAAATATGTTTTCAATGGGCCGTAAACGGCTACATCCATGGGCTGCATCTTATGCGTTGTATGTGGAGCCAAGGATAAGATTACGATGTTGTTTTTGCTAGCGTAATCCAAAGCTGGGTAATACTTATGGCTCTCATGGTAGTCCAATAGTAGAAGTATCTTTTTCTCAGGTGTAGGCCGAACATGTTCCACGAAAAAACGCATCCAATCAAGAAATACATCTCCTGAAGTCCAACCATTTGGAGTAAAGGTTCCTTGAGTGCCGGGTGGCGCACCATCAAGTAGTCTGGGTTGCATCTTCTTCCTGGAAAAAATTAAGAATGGTGGGAGAAACGAACCAGCGGCATTACAGCAATCGATGACCGTCGTTAATTGACCACGTTCTGCACTGGCAATTATGCCAACCTGTTTCTTTCCTTTCGTTGATAGCACTTTAGGTGGCTTATTGATGGTTGTCGATATACCTGTCTCATCCATATTGTACAATCTAGATGCATTAATGTCATGTTTTGCAGTCAAATCTTCAAGGTTTTCATAAAAACGTCCAACTTCACGTCTGTTGAATCCTTTAGCCCTTGCAACCGATGTTGCTTCTGGAGTCCTCAGAGAAATTTGATTGTGGCGAGACAAAAATGATGATAACCAGTCGTCTCCTGCTTTTTCGTACTTGTCCTAGTTTTTCGGATAGTTCAAATTATTTTTGTTAGCGTATATGAACGCCAAATTTTTGAACTCGTCTCGAGTTAGTCCAAAAAAAACAGAATCCATATCCTCCAGATATGTTAACAACTCTGTCTCCTGATCTTCATTGAAAACAGGATGGAATCGACCCAATTTTGGGGCAGTGGTGCCGGTTTTGGCGTGCCTGTACAAGGTTGCATAGGCCAACCCATACATTTTAGCTGTGCTTTTTATGGATTCGCCAGCTTTGCACAAATTAATAGTTGTTTTCATGTTTAGTTTTTTTATATTTATTAACCATCTGAAACAAATAAAAAACATGATGAAATTTCAAGTCAATAATAACGAATAGCGGGCAAAGTGGATTCCATTTTCACTTTGCCCTATTCTCTTTGCCCGACTAGGTAACTTTTGAGGTTAACAAATTTTGTACAGAAACGAATAATTCTAAACTTCTGTGGAAGATACAATAAAAACCTACTTTGACATGGTACTGAATTAAAATATTTCTAAAGATCAAGAACCAATAGCAACGGAAAAAAAATCAATATACTCACCTCGTAAAATCAATCTTTTTTTCACAAAAACACAAATCTCCACTCTGCGGCCGGCAAACGACGCGTCCTCCTGCTTTAGTATTTGCCGCGCACTAAATCAAGATGGCGGAATGTCACTACGGTGGTGTGATGACAGTCGAATGAATAATTTAGAAGTAGTGGGGTATTCGTTTTGCCTGTGGTGTTCACTTTGCCCGGTCTTCCCCTAATTTAACTTTATTAGTTTTACAATTAGAGATAATTTGATTATTAGCAGAAATCTGGATATATTGTGTTTTCTGATCATTTAGTTTCAGCTTATTAGGTAGAAACCACTGATTGGCACTATTAGATACCTCGTCGAAATGAGACTGTAACATATCGTTATTGTTATCCGACAGAATGAAAGTGGTGTCGTACGCAAAGATGACCGATTTGAACGGCATCATATATTTGTACAAGTTATTCACATAAATGACAAATGAGAGCGGGCCCAAAATAGACCCTTGCGAAACGCCATGCTCAATATTTTGATAGTTTGATAAGGTACAGTTGAACATCACTGCTTGTTGACGATTAGTAAGATAGGTTCTTATTAAGTGAAGTGGAATACCTCTAACTCCGTATTAGTTTAATTTTTCCAACAGAATTTCATGTGAGACGCAGTCGAACGCTTTCGACAGGTGACATAGCATTGATGCAGTCTGATTGCCCTGCTCAAGCTCCTCAATCACGCCAGACACGACGTCGAACACTGCATCTATTGTTGAGCGCGACTTTTTGAAACCATATTGGGAGTTGATGAAAAACGTATTATTCTCAAAGTAGGCATAAAACTGATCCTCAGTTATAATTTCAACCACTTCAAAAAATATTGAAATAATACTTATTGGTCTGTAGTTATCGATGGCTTTTTCATCACTTTTTTTTAAAAGGGGCAATACTTTAGAAGACTTGATGATATCTGGAAAGATACCAGTACATAAGATTGAATTGATCAGTATAGTTAGAGGTTGGATTATTATAGACGAGGTTTCCTTTATTATCGACTATTGAGTTCATGGGTATTTGAACATTTGGAGTCCTTCAGTGAATTAATCGCTTCCAAAACTTTTATCTCATGCACGGGTCGGAAGAAAAATGACATACACAGAGCAGGATTTTTTTTTAAATTTAATAGCTCCTCGTTTGCAACATTAATGAATTATTACAGACAGAATTAATGATATTATAAGCAATATTATTCAAAAAGATGATAATTCGATTGTTGGTTTCAAATCGAATTTATTTCTCTGGAAATTATTATTTTTCAGCAAGCTTTAGATTTATTATTGGACGAAGAAATTTATTCATCATACGCCATTTTTTAGCGGATATCAGTTAATTACCATATTCTTTCTTGACCTATTTGTACGCTATGAAACCATTTGGGTTCTTGGTTTTGTCTGCTATTTGTTTGATGCTGTGCATATTATTTCTTAACTATCTCAGGTCATCTGAAAACCATTGAACCAGTGATCTCTTCACTGGTTCAGAGGAAAAATTTTTAATATGTACCATATGTACCACCCCAGGCTATAATTCCATAAACCATAGTTATCGAAAATGATGCACTATGAAACATCAGTAAATTTTCTAGAAAATACTAGTGATGGGATGAATGGAATTAAAAATTATCGGTCATTCGCTTATTGCAATCACTCGAGATATCTCGAGATGTCAAATGGAATCATCCATCAATGATTCAGGATTCAGATCATTCGAATGTATAAAGTAAAACAATAATAATGATGATACATATAGAGAACACTCCTAAGTTGGACAATATTATATTAACAATGTAATAGTACTAATACTTATTGTTGTGAATATAAGTTTCTGTATCATTCTAAGTACAATAATGAATATCAGTTTCTTCGATGATTTCCACGAATAAACAGGGAGACCCATAGAAACCTAGGTTGTGCGTGGGGTTTTTTCTGTTTATTCATAAATTTTGTTGTTTGATGTATAGGTATTTTATAATTTTTCCAATATTGTAGTTGACATAGGGGAAATAACCCTCTAATTTTCAACTAATTGTTCTGTACTCTTAATATATCGTGAATTACTTTTCTGTCTAGATTAACCCGGCGTAACCCAGGTGAAAAATCTTTACAGTATCACTCAGGTGGGGTCTGATGTACCCCAAAATTAGAAATACGAGGAAAAAATAAAACATCAGGATTTTCTCAGGTTTGTACGTGAAATGGGTTTTCAACCATATTTGGCAGGCTTATTAGGAATGTATTGGCGAAATGAACAACGACCCCGAAAAGATTCCAACTTCTCATCAATTGTCATATATTGTCCTGGTGTATATTGTCGCAACTCAGTTCTCGCTTGGCTATTTACGAGAGGATTTTTATTTGCTGTTTCACCCATTCATTCATTCATCCAAAATAATAAAAGAACTCATTTAAAACTTGATAAAATATTTATTGTAAAAGAAACGGAAAAAATACTTTAAATAAACTCACACTCAAAAGGTTAATAAAAATAATACATTAAAACAATCATAAAACTTACATTATACTGCCACCCAGCAGGATTGAAGAGAAGGAGATGTGCTGCATTTCTGATGACCCAATCGATACGTAAATGAATACTGTCTGTTGACTGTTAACTGTTAATTGTTAATGATCTTGACCTCCCTCAATATTTATAAAGAATTATACGCTGACATTGCGACTTTGATCCGGTCACTGTACTGAGGTAAAATGCACAGCATGTAATCTGTGCCAAGTTTGCATATTTGGAGATTGTTTTATATTCCATATCCTGTGATCGGATCAATTTCGATGTCTATGAACTTGAAATATCAAAAGATGGAATTCTGAATACCTACTGAGTGTTCTTGTGTTAAAATATTGAAGTGAGGTTGGAATATCTTTCAATTCATATATTTACTCAAATGAATCTGAATCATTTCATGATTATTTTCTATATTTGACAATATGCTTCTTGACAGTTTGAAATGAACTTTTCAAACACTGCCCTTATAGCGGCAAGTTTATCCACTTGAAGTCTTTCTTGCCTATTTTCAACGTGATCAAAACGCAGGCATAATAGTAGGAATGAAAATCTATTGAAAGCCATAACTGTTCGGAAAATGTCAATACCAGTTCCATTTGTTCGCCAGAGATCTCGCAGATGGCGATGCCCACTTCTGTACACGCCAGCAAGATAAAGAAGACCAAACAATGCCTTCATTTCGATAACATTGGTTTCGCCGCAATAGTACTTCTCTTTATAAGCTGTGGCTTTTCGACGTATCATAATATTGGTACAGTCGGTGATACTCTCAATCATTATAGGATCAAAAAAGAGATGCCAGCAGTCTAATGCAGTTTTCTTATCTTTGGCACACAACTTGGACCCTGGTAATTGTGAAATTATATTCTCTGATCTTGTTCTCACCTTGTCATTAGCATGATGATTTTTCCATTTTGTCGAGTCCTTACACAAATAAAACGAACTTGGAATGCTCTGGTCATCAGTGTCTTCTGTGACAGTTTCTTCACATTCACTATCGGAATGGTAACTTTGGACACTAAGGTGATCAACCTCTTCATCATCACTCGAATCAACAAAATCTCCATCGTCATATTCTTCTTCTTCCCAGAGTGCCAAAAGCTGCTCTTGCTCTTTCTCGTAATGAGACATCCTACGGAAATAATTGCATTCAGATATTACCATTATTTACACCAAAATCAACTCTTATCTATAAAAATAAATGTATAACTTGATAACACAGGTGGGGCTCCTGTGACCCCAGCGCTGTTTGCGGCACTGCTACTCTCTCAGTAGCTGACTGAAGACTGCACTCGCACCAGAATATCACAGAATGGAGTGTTTTGGGAAGCTATAGGCAACCAATGAACCGTGCGTGCATTCGATTTGAAATGCCAGTGATTTAAAATTTGTATGGCCATGTGAGACCCCACCTGGGCGACGCCGGGTTAAATATATACGATTTTATTTTTTTTCTGATTGAAGTGATAGAGTTGATGGAAGTGATGAGATCCTTTAAACTTTCATGTAAGAAGTTGATAAGCCGAGGTGCGAGGTAAGTATAACATCGTTGTGCTACCGCTTTTTTTGAGGATTTCGTACGAATATCAGAATTGCTTTTTTGTCTTGTTGTGTATTTATGTTCTATTGTTTTCAGTTCGTGTTTGTTTCTGTATAGGTTAACTAAAATACTATAAAAAAATTATTGTTTCAAATCGAAGCATTTCGATTCTTTATATAATTCGTTTGTAGGATACCTATACGGTCTCTTGAATATTATTTTTAGGAATCTTTTTGGCAAAATTTCAATTTTTTTCAGGTGGATATCTGCTATGCCTCCCCACCCTAATATCCCATTCCATATTGTAATCTTGATTCTACTAATGCGTGCTACAGAAGCTTCATATGGTGAGTATTCAAAATTTTCACCTAATATTTGAATTTTGGGACCATGTACCTTAGAGTATTAACGATATTCTGAGCGTACATATCCCATCTCAAGTGTCGATTGAATGTTATTCCCAAATATTTAAAACTAATTGTGGAATGGATAAGTTCGACTGTATCATTTCTTTGAATTAAAATCGTTTCATACTGAGGTAAATTGTTTTTGTAGATGGCAAATGGCATAAACTTGGTCTTGTCATAGTTTACTGTGAGGTAATTCTGTTCAAACCATTTCACAGTTTCAAAATCTAACTCGATTGTACTTTTCAGGTTGCCCCATGAATCATCTTTGTATAACACAACTGTATCGTCAACAAAGTCATCCGCATATGAATACAGATTTGTATTCTATAGATACGTCATAAGTGAAAATTAAGAGAAAGACAAATACTTTTGTGACAATTTCTATTATCGTTGAATCTAAAAAAAATAATTGTGACGTTAACATAAATATTAAATCTCCACTGATAATATTGTTATGTAATTCATTGATATGTTTGTTTTGATTTTATCGTTTTCAAATTGAAACCATTCTATTCACAAATTCTCTATTGAAAATTGGTTCCAGTTCAATGAAGATGCTTTCCTGTGAGCTGACCTACTTCTCTAGAGCTGAAAATCCAACACTTAATCTCTTCCATCTATCCAGGAGCTGGCCTACATCTCGATGAATCAGCCCAGTGAAACATTCGACAATACGACGATATTAATCCGCGTAATAAGACTTTTCATTACCGGGGACGCTCTCCAAGGAAGGCGCTGGAAATGAGGAACGCGGAAGAGCTGTCGCCTCTCATCTCTGGGTGCTCGTTTCTGCGTCTTCTTGATTTTCTGGTCGGTTTCATTCCTGTTGTTCTGAGTGAGCGCATTTAAATTCATACACGCCGTTTTGTATTTTAGGGACTCATTTCGTTCTGCGTACAGACATAAAAAGCCGGAGTAATCGTTTCGGATGTTGTTTAAAGTTCTTTTCTGCCGCCGAAGAGTTTATGATTTCGCACGAGACACGAGATTCCGGTGATGTTTAGCAGAAGTTATTCGTTGGTAGATTGTAGCGGCGTTTTAGCAGATGGCTTCACTGGAAATGTTTATGATCAGAAGTACATGTAGTTTTTGAGTACATTCAGCAATACTGAATTAGTTCTGTTAGACTCAAAGAGTGAGGTTTGGAGGATATAATTTTTCAGTATGTTTTTCTTCAGTATGTCAGTTGAGCTATCTGAATCTATTGTTTTGATTTTGGCTGGTGAAAGCATATATCAAACATACCTATGTAATAACTGCCATTGTGATAGTTAACGAGAAATATCATTTTATTCATAAAGATCGAAGTCGGTCACCGGTTTTCCGCTATCGATATTTGTCCAACAGAGTAAGCGTTAGATTTAATTCATGGTTGGTGATCTTTGGCGGCATCTTGAAGGGTTATGTTTCGTTCAAAGTAGGCTAAACAAACGTATCCCGTTTATAAATCATAATACTGAGAACGCAAAAATGCAAGCTATGAGTTTGCATTTCAGCTTCGTGTACAGGAAGTTCGGCCATATCTGAATAGGTGGGTCCGAAAATTTATTTAAAATAAAAAGTTACCAATGACTTCAATAAAAAGAAGATATAGATAGGAAGGGTTATGGAAAAATTCGGGAATATTAAACAAAGATCAGGAGTTAGGGACAGTTTTTCGGACTTTGAAATGAGAATTAGTCGGTTGATTGGGACGGTGGCGATCGGACAGTTGGGGGAGTCGGTTTCTTGAGACGGTGGCGATCGGAACGTTGAGGGAGTCGGTTAATTGGGAGAGTGGCGATGGGACAGTTACGTAAGAGGGTTGCGAAAGTCAGATGCGGAAGAGGGTTGCGAGAAGGGATATTGCGAAAGGGGATTTTGCGATAGAGCAGTTGCGATCGAGAGTTAATTTGGGAGAGTCGCGAAAGGGAGTTGCGAAAGTCAGTTGCGGAAGAGGGTCGCGACAAGGGACTTTCCAAAAAGGGATTTTGCGATAGTGGAATTATGGTAAATTGCGGGCAGTGAGTTAATTGTGGTGTTACGTTCGGTGGCACTTACAACGGATGTGTATTCCACACGGATACCGTACCAGAGAGGGAGAACCTGGTATAGTATCCGTGAGTCTATTTGGCTTTTTTTTTCTACCCCCATGTCGGTTAAGAGAGACAGGATGTTATTTTAATTTTGTAATAATTTTATTATTGTTGTTCCGTCTTGGGGACGATATAAGAAGGGCAATAAATTATACTACACCCCTTTCATATGTGTATATATCATATTAATTATTACACACGGGTTTGAAACTGAAAAATAGTAGGGCGGCCAGGCAATTTCAAATAATAATTTCCGAATTTACACAAAACTCGAATAGAGCAATTTAGGTTTTCGTGTAAGTTGGAATTCTAACTTATGAGAAAATATATAACAAGTTGATAAAGAGATCATTTTTGTTTGACAATCAGCTATTTGAGACGTGCTTTCTTGTAAACTTTTGATCTTACTTTTCGAACATTTTTGCTTGTTGTTTTGTTGGATTTTCATGTAATATTTTCACATAGTTATTCGTTTCGTAATATAAGCCTAATCTAAAGCTTCTTATTGTTTTTAATGGCTCACTACTCGAATAGGTCCCGCACCATTTCAGGATAGTTAAAAGGCCTTTAGCTTTAAGTATTAGTATCCTGCCTCGTTCGGAGTGGAACTTAGAAGGAAAACCATCTCAAAAAGGTACACAGTCTGGTTAGGTTTCAAAAAGACCAGCACTCGTGCGTTCGGCAAGAACCCTACAGTTTTTCCGGACCCGCCTTGATATTTAAAATTTAATGTGGAACATCTGGTGATAGCCGCTGCCGAATTAAATTCATTTCAGAAAATAAATGAATCAGAAATGAGCATTTATCACTCCAAAAAACGGTCAGTATATTCAAAAATAAGAGATAGAACCATATATGAATACAATACATATTCGGCTAGCTAGATTTACCACATGATCATTAGCAGTACATATACTCCGAACCTTCAAGATGAAGATAACAGGTACTAGATGTTACGCTCATGGCGGGATATCTTTCAATTATTTTGAGGTCACTCCAGTATCTGACAATAGATCTGCAAGGTATGACCTCATATTGATAAAAATCATGTGGGGATGGATTGTACGTAATATCGTCTGAAGAACATTGTTGATAGATGAAGCAGATGAATGGAAACCCCAACAAAACTGTTAGGAAGAAGAGAATTAATGATTCAATACTATTTGCCTTCGATTGTGAAGTTAATCAATTCTCAGGAAGAGAAATATCCAGGTATTATACTCGAACTGATCAGAAAGGCTTACTCTGAATATCCAGGATATCAACATGTCGAAGGATTTGTACAAAATCTCAGAGCCTGAGACCCACAAATTCTTCAGATGATGAATTACGGACAAATGACCACGTACTGAGCAATTTCTTCGTTAAAACCTTCACCTAAATGGCTAAGGCAAACCTCGCTAATGTCTTCTACTTGTTACATGCATTTTGCACGAGTGAGGAGAAACATACTGTCCAATTCATGAAGCTAGATAGATGTGAGTATTTGAAAAGTCACCTGGTCTTCTGCAATTGTGTTACGATTTGAGATCACATAATTTCTTGCGATGGATTTAAATTCGTTTTGTAAGGTCTAATCGAATCTATTTTCCTGGTAGCCAACTGTAGTATTTTCGTGTTCGGTATACTAATTGGATGTTTACTCACAGCATGAAGTATTTAATTCTCACGTGTATATCTGCAATCAAATGAAAGTTAGGAGACGACAGAGTAATGGAAATCAGCGGGCAATGATAGTCACCAACATATCTCCAAAACTATAACCACTAGAAACGCGTTCTACTGCCGCCCCGCTCTGCCCTCCTACTAGCGTTGAGAGCGCGCCGCCCCGTATTGTGACGGTCTAAGGAATGACGGGTGTGTTTTGTTTCTACGGTTCGCCGATGTAAATTTTTATGGACGCAAAGTAAACAGTGAGTATTTTAATTATTGATCTGCTAGCATGTGACTTTTTTACGCTTTTACTCGTACATTCAGTGTAACGATTTCATACTCAAATTCCGAGTATTGCTTATATATTTTTTGTGTTTATTTTTCTCCTTCATAAAATACTTTTGGGTAATGAGTATCGGGTGACCCCCATTGCCCACTAAGGTTGGACCACTTGAAGGGGCATATAAAAAAGAGTGCCGCTTATGTATGAGAAGTTACCTCGCAGAAAAGATCACACCTTACGAAGTAGCATCCTTATTGAGCAAGGCATTTAATAACGTTGCGTCCATTAGTGAAGCAGAGTCGGGATTTAGACCTACAGGTATTTATCCAATGAATCCCGACGTATCTTGTGATGAGGATTTTGTACCAGCAGAATTGCTCCAATCAGAAACTGCTGCCAGTCAAAACTCTGATAATTCAGTTGCAATAAATAGCCCAGCGCTAGGCAAAGAAAGCTCTTCACTACCTGGAACATCAATGCAAGTTGATTCACTGCTACTCCCGACGCCATCAAGAACTGCTAGTGCCGTTGATTGTCTAGCCCCTGGCCCATAAGTGAAAAGTGTTTCACTAACACCTGTTCCAGTATATTCGCCAATCTCTGGCACATCAAAACAAGTTACTCCAGCAGTCTCTATTTTTGATATTGTGTCGAAATTATTCAAGTTGCCAGAGAAAATCAATACCCTGTATACTAGACAAAGTCACCAAAAGCAGCATGCCAAAATTTCAACATCCAGGACAATAAAAAAAAACTTGATAGAGAAAAAACTTGATAGAGAAAAAACTTGATAGAAAAAGAGAACAAGAAAAGTAAAACGGTCTGCCCAGCCAAGGATAATGGAAAAGGAAAACCGAACCGAAAGAGTAAAGAGGAAGGTTCTCCATGAATCACATGATACATCCGTGGACGTGGATACTGATAACACAGGTCTGCGAATGAAAAATTGTAGGATATTCAACTAGTGATTTTAACAGTATTCTGTGTGCAGATTACGGAAAAAATTGTAAAAAAATTCTATCACCTATAGATAAGTCACAAATTTCACCTGGAATTTTCTTATTAAATGGGTTTATAGGTTCGGTATGGGCTCGATGTTTCTGTATTAAGTAGCCTATACAAGTGGTAAATTGAGTCTTGATTATGGAGCTTTTATGATGAATAAGTTACTACACAATTTGAGGGTATATGAAAGATAAAATACGGGAAAACTGGGAAAATCCAGTTCCTTCTGAAACAAGGCATGTATGTGTCAGTCTGTCTGCCCCCTCTCTAAACCTACTGTCTGCTGGGAGCCAGGCGTGACCTTAGTTGCAGGCAGTGACTCGATCAGTGTGGAGCCAGCCACTGTGGTGCACACATCAAACAGTTTTGTGCTATTGTTCAGAATGTGTATTTTGCATACTTTGGTATTAAATTAGGAGACCAAGATAAATATTGGGCTACCCATATAGTATGTTCTGTGTGTGTTGAAGAAGTTAGACAATGGTTTCAAAGTATGAAAAAATCATTTCGTTCTGAAGTACTCATGGTTTGGAGAGAGCCCAAAACTGTACTTCTTCACAATGGGAACCAATATGCTTATGTGCCTGTTGGACACTCAGTCCATTTGAAATAATGCTACGAAAATCTAGAATTTGTTCTTAATGAGCTCAGCTACTCTGATCATAAGTGGACCATTTGTGGAGACTTGAAAGTAATTTCAATACTACTAGGTCAACAAAGTGGTTACACTAAGTTTCCATGTTTCCTATGTGAATGGGATAGCCGTGACAGGAAACAACACTTTGTCAAGCAGGTGTGGCCAAAA